GCTGCTGCTGCTGCTGCTGCTGCTGCTGCTGCTGCTGCTGCTCCATGTGATCGATGTTCACACACTCACTAATTCCCCTTCTCTCTTTTCTTCCTCTCTACAGTAATGACAGTAATAGTAATAACAGTGACATTAAGAACAGCACCAAAAACAACTGTTACAACAGGGACAGTAACAACTCTGACAGTGTCAGCAATAACAGTTACAACAATTACATTAACGGCTGTAACGGCAGTAACAGCAGTAACGGCAGTAACAGCTGTAACATAATGAGATTTAGTTTTCCTGAAATCAATCAGGAAATTATCTTTTTTTAATTCTTTTGCTACTTTTTTCTTCTGAATCACATCCATTGGTGCATGTGTGTGTGTGTGTGTGTGTGTGGGCGTGAACATTTAGCTGACACTTTAATGGAGTAAGAAGAAATTATGTCACATGTTTCATGTTTGATAGCTGCTCACTCTGGATTTACTCCAACAAACAGACAAACGCATTAAAAAACATGAAAATCGTCCACTTCCTGTCTGAGGCTCCGACATCACCAGACTGAGGAGGCGGAGCTGACCTGTCACCTTTAACTCACAATTTGAAAAATATTTAATTAATTTTCAGTCTGGCCGGTAACTGTTTCCAGAAAATCAACAGGAGAGAAAATAATGTTTCAACTGTAAATAAATTAGGGCTCAACATTCATTTAATTTTAACTTAAATATTAAAAAATCTTAAATGTAAATTCAAATTCAATAAATAAAAAAATCTTAAAAAGAATTATTATCAGACATTATTGCTATTATGTTATTTTAAAATACACTTGTTAAATAATCTAAAATGCAATTTTCTTTCAATTATTTGTTAAATATTTTAAAAGTCTTGTTTTTTCTTATTTTTCAAACATTTATATTTAAGACTTAGTTCTCAGGATAAATGTGAATATTATTTGATTTAAAAATGAACAGAAGTAAAGGTCAAGCAGCACAATGGTCTCTTTATTTTTGATGATAATCATCATCACCTGATTTTTGACATTGTGTTCATTGGTTAATTCAAATAAGCCAATGAACACAGACGGATTTGAATCAGAAGTTTTTATCAGAGAGCAGTCAGAACCAAAGTCCGATTCTTCTAAAGCAGTGAAGAAAAGACGGAGGACAAGGAGGTTGAAGCTGATGATGAAGGCTTTGTTCAGACAGAGAGAGGAGGCGGTGGGGTGAGGGAGTGAGGAGGGTGAATGGAAAAAATGTCCTCCCTCTCTCACCCTCCCTCTCGTGGTCTCTCATGTGAGTAATAGAGGCCGAAATTTCATTTTGCAAGTGGCTGATTTAATGATCCAAAGGGTAATTAATGTCCTGATTATCTTAATGTTAAATATGGCCCTCAGCAATTACACTGACCTCCTGTCTGTCAAGGTCTGGACCCAGGCTCTCAGCTCCAATTAGGTCCTGGTCCTGGGGAGGGGCAGAGGGGGAGGAAAACTGAGAGAAAGGAGGAGGAGAGAGGGAAAGGGATGAAGGTAGAAATGCAAAGAAAAGAAAGGTTCTGTGGAATATCTGATTATATCTGAAGACATGAGACATTTTCTAAGGATAAAAATGTTCTTGTTTTACTACCGTGTTAAAAGTTCCACCTACCTGAGGTTGTGGACAGGGACCAGACCCAGGACTCCAGCATGAGAGCTACAGCCTGAGACCACATTTGACCAAAAAGTACACACAGCCCTTCACTTTCAGATTGTCTTATTTTACAGCCTTATTTTAACATTGACTATTTTCTACACTAAATTGATGACACAGTACCCCAATATGGCAACGCTCAAAAAACTTAAATATAACATGTAAATAATTCATAGTTCATTACTTCGTTGAAGCAGCTTTGGCAGCATTTACAGCCTTCAGCCATTTATGGCGCCGTGTCACACTCTGACCTCACCTCTGTTTGGGCACTTGTCACCGTAGAACCATCGAGCTCCATCAGGTTGGATGGGGAGCGTTGGCGTCTGGTCGTTTTTTGATCTCTCAGGTGATGTTCTATCACACTGAAGTCTAGACTCTTTCTGCCCTTCAGAATGGTCGTGTTAGTGTGAGGAGATCAGCTCAGATCCTTTAGAGCAGCTCTTTCTTCTAGAGCCTGGTGGTGCTTCCAATCTTCTTCTATCACTGGATGATGGAGGCCTTTGTGCTGATTGGGACCACCTTCAGTGCTGCAGACGTTACTCTGTACCCTTCCCCAGATCTATGGCTCAACTTGTAGAAACTTCTAAAGGATGAAAACATGAATGTAGCCGCTCACATTTGCAAAAACCTCAGAATAGATTAGAGAATAGAATAGTCTTTATTCTCATTGTAACACAGGAGTACAACAAAATTAAGATGGGCTATAGTTAGGGCTGGAGGGTTTTTTTTCAGTTTTTCAACTGGGAATTTTGCATGTAGAACTTTGAGAGGAAATGTATTAAAGGAATGTAAGAATTAATTAGACTGTAACAACACTGTACAATATGTACAGTTCCCTCTGCAACAAACTAGAAGAAGGACAGTACCCTGGACAGTACCCTGGACAGTCCCTGGACAGTCCATGGACAGTCCCTGGACAGTAGCCTGGACAGTCCCTGGACAGTCCCTGGACAGTACCCTGGACAGTCCCTGGACAGTCCCTGGACAGTACCCTGGACAGTCCCTGGACAGTACCCTGGACAGTGCCCTGGACAGTCCCTGGACAGTAGCCTGGACAGTCCATGGACAGTCCATGGACAGTACCATGGTGCCCTACATTTCCTTGGTGCCAAACTTAGTCTTCGGTACCAGTTCCTGTGTTGGTAAAGCATAGTTCTTGGTATTTCCCCTGGTTCCATTGTAACCTTGACCATGAACGACCATGAAAGTTGTCGTTGAATGAACTGGGTCTTCTGTGGTGCCATGTAGTGTCCATGTTCTTGGTATGTGTTCTATTTTCTGCTGACTTTTTAGTTCACACACAGGTACTGTTAGTTCTCACTGTCGTGGACGTTGAGTCAGTCCCTGGTACTCTCTGGTTGTCTCTGCTACTTGCCTCTGGTTTTCAATACTACTTCATAGAGGATTCTCCTTTTTCAGTGCAGAATCTTGGACTTGGTGTCTTCTCTAATGGAATATTTGAATCTGTGGTGGAGAAGAACCTGCTCCACCTTAGCTGAGACAAAGAACGTTATAGATCCTGCGTACAATA